ATTAGAGCTAATAAATGAATTCAGCAAAGTGGCAGGATATAAAATCAACACGCATAAATCAAAGGCATTCCTGTATATCAGCGACAAATCCTCTGAAATGGAAATGAGGACAACCACTCCATTCACAATATCTTCAAAAAAAATAAAATACTTGGGAATCAACCTAACAAAAGAGGTGAAAGACTTATACAATGAAAACTACAGAACCCTAAAGAGAGAAATAGAAGAAGATCTTAGAAGATGGAAAAATATACCCTGTTCATGGATAGGCAGAACTAACATCATCAAAATGGCGATATTACCAAAAGTTCTCTATAGGTTTAATGCAATGCCAATCAAAATCCCAACGGCATTTCTTGTAGAAATAGAGAAAGCAATCATGAAATTCATATGGAAAAATAAACGACCCAGAATAGCAAAAACAATGCTAAGCAGGAAGTGTGAATCAGGCGGTATAGTGATACCAGACTTCAAACTATACTACAGAGCAATAGTAACAAAAACAGCATGGTACTGGTACCAAAACAGGCGGGTGGACCAATGGTACAGAATAGAGGACACAGAAACCAATCCACAAAAGTACAACTATCTTATATTTGATAAAGGGGCTAAAAGCATGCAATGGAGAAAGGATAGCATCTTCAACAAATGGTGCTGGGAAAACTGGAAATCCATATGCAACAAAATGAAACTGAATCCCTTTCTCTCGCCATGCACAAAAGTTAACTCAAAATGGATCAAGGAACATGATATCACATCAGAGACATGGCATCTGATAGAAGAAAAAGTTGGCTACAATCTACATACTGTGGGGTCGGGCTCCAAATTCCTCAGTAGGACACCCATAGCACAAGAGTTAATAACTAGAATCAACAAATGGGACTTACTCAAACTAAAAAGTTTTTTGTCAGCAAAAGAAACAATAAGAGAGGTAAATAGGGAGCCTACACCCTGGGAACAAATCTTTACTCCTCACACTTCAGATAGAGCCCTAATATCCGGAGTATACAAAGAACTAAAAAATTAGACAATAAGATAACAAATAACCCAATCAACAAATGGGCCAAGGACCTGAACAGACACTTCTCAGAGGAGGACATACAATCAATCAACAAGTACATGAAAAAATGCTCACCATCTCTAGCAGTCAGAGAAATGCAAATCAAAACCACCCTAAGATACCATCTCACTCCAGTTAGATTGGCAGCCATTATGAAGTCAAACAACAACAAGTGCTGGCGAGGATGTGGGGAAAAGGGTACACTTGTACATTGCTGGTGGGACTGCAAATTGGTGCAGCCAATTTGGAAAGTAGTATGGAGATTTCTTGGAAAGCTAGGAATGGAACCACCATTTGACCCAGCTATTCCCCTTCTCCGTCTATTCCCTAAAGACCTAAAAAGAGCATGCTACAGGGACACTGCTACATCGATGTTCATAGCAGCACAATTCACAATAGCAAGACTGTGGAACCAACCTAGATGCCCTTCAATAGACGAATGGATAAAAAAAAAATGTGGCATTTATACACAATGGAGTATTACTCTGCATTAAAAAATGATAAAATCATAGAATTTACAGGGAAATGGATGGCATTAGAGCAGATTATGCTAAGTGAAGCTAGCCAATCCCTAAAAAACAAATGCCAAATGTCTTCTTTGATATAAGGAGAGTAACTCAGAACAGAGTAGGGACGAAGAGCATGAGAAGAAGATTAACATTAAACAGGGATGAGAGTTGGGAGGGAAAGGGAGAGAGAAGGGAAATTGCATGGAAATGGAAGGAGACCCTTAGGGTTATACAAAATTACATGCAAGAGGAAGTGAGGGGAAAGGGAAAAATAATACAAGGGGGAGAAATGAATGACAGTAGAGGGGGTAGAGAGAGAAGAGGGGAGGGGAGGGGAGGGGGGATAGTAGAGGATAGGAAAGGCAGCAGAATACAACAGACACTAGTATGGCAATATGTAAATCAATGGATGTGTAACTGATGTGATTCTGCAATCTGTATTTGGGGTAAAAATGGGAGTTCATAACCCACTTGAATCAAAGTGTGAAATATGATATATCAAGACCTATGTAATGTTTTGAACAACCAACAATAAAAATTAAAAAAAAAAAGAAATAGTAGTGTAATACTTGGGAAAAGTGCCAACCTGAGAATCAATAGAAAGTCAATCTTATAAACATTTTTTTTTTTTTTGGTGTTTTCCTAACAACGTTTTGGTCGAATAGTAACAGTAGACATCACTATTACTTAGGTTGTTGTTTTGAATAAACACTTCTCTGCTTAGAGAACCCTGGGCTTCTTAGAGGAATAACTTATTTTTGGCCTGGGGCAGAACATTAAAAATTAATTTAGAACATCTTATTATAATAGAAAGCAAGGAAGCTATTAAAAACTACAATAGACCTATCAAAAGGATTCAAGACAACATGATTCTTCTACTTGAGAAAGATGGGACAATTTGAGTATCAATAAAGAAAATATATATGATGAATTAAAACACATCAAATATATTTAAACCTTGAGTTTATGCTGGTCCCCAAAAAAGCAGAACCAAAAAACCACAGGGGTTGGGGTTGTAGCTCAGTGGTAGAGTGCTTGTCTTGCATATGCAGGCCCTGGGTTCTATCCTCAGCACCACATAAAAATAAATAAATAAAATAAAGGTATTGTGTCCAACTACAACTAAAACATAAATATTTTAAAAGCCCACAGACACACATGTTTATGTCAGCACACAATTATATACCCATATAATACTTCCACCAATAATAACTAAGTGGAAATCCTTGAAGAATTCTAGTAAACTACCTCTATCAGTTAAAAACTGATAAGGAGAGATTCAAGCATTTACTTTTTCCTATATCAACTATACCCTTGGGGAACCAAATATGGTATAATTTCTCTTTAAAGAAATTTCCAGTATATAAATAATGAATGATAGAATTGGAATCTCATCCTTTTGTAAGCACTAATGAATTAGTGAATTTAAACATTAAGCATCAATGACTGCTAATGTCACAAAAAGGACTTCCAGTTACCGTCTCTTCAGGTAAGATGAATCCATTAAGTGTCTTGCACAAAAAATTGAACATGAACCATATTGTCTCTGGATCCAATTAAAAATTTTTCAAGAAATGCTGAAAAAGAGTAACATGCTATTCTATATCATAGAAATGTTATCAGCAAAATTTAGATTATTGCCAACTCTATTGGACAAATTAAAACAACAATGCATAGGGATATTGTATGATTTGAGTGATAAAACTATTGACTATCAAGAAAATTATACCACAAAGGTTAAGAGAGTGGTCACTCTTAGAAGGGAAGAGTTTTTGATTGGGAGAAAAACAGATGGTTTCTGGGTAGCTGGCAAGATTGCCCTTGATTAAACTGGCATTATGTAAAAAGGTGTTTATCTTATAACAATTCATTAAACTATACATTTGTTGTTCTGTTTTGAGTTATAAAAATACTAAAGCAAAACTTTTAAAAATGTACTTTTTATTGCTGCATTATAGTTTCATATAATAATGGAATTCATTATGCTATATTTATACATGTACCACTCTCAATTTGATCTGTTTCTTTCCTTCATACTCTTACTTTATCTCCTCTCCTCTCTTCCTTGTTACTTCCCCAGACCCTTCTTTTAGTCTATTGGTCTCTGTTTTATATTCTGAGGTCCATTTTATTTCCCTTTTATCTCTCTAGCTTCCTTGTATGAGAGAAAACATATGACCCATGACTTTCTGAGTCTGGTTAATCTCACTTAGCATAATGTTCTTTAGTTCCATCCATTTTCCTGCAAATGACATAATTTTATTCTTCTTATGGCTGAATAAAGTTCCATTGTGTATATTATGCATCTCACATTTTGTTTATATAGTCATCTGTTGATGGACACTTAGGTTGGTTCTGTAATTTGGCTATTGTGAATTATGCTGCTATAAATATGGGAATGCAAATATAACCATAGTATGTAAGGTGAAACTTTTAAATGAGGATAATGTATTTGCATTTTTAAAAGATTTCTGTGCTTTAATTTGTGAAGTTACTTGTAAAGCTTTCATAGGACATGGAGAGGGCAGGTAGTTTAAAGACTACAGGTGAGAGTTTAAATAGCATGAATTGCAAATACCATCTCAAGCCACAAATGAAAGAATCAAGTGGGCTTTGCATGAAGGAACTGTTCGGCATTAGTAAGTCATTTTAGCCTATTTATTTATTTATTTATTTATTTATTTATTTATAGTCGTAGATGGACACAATACCTTTATTTATTTATTTAAATATGGTGCTGAGGATGGAACCCAATGCTAGGTAAGCACTCTACCACTGAGCACAACTCTAGCCCTTAGCCATACATGTTATCATCTGCATGTGTGAAAATGTAATAAATGGAATATATGCTGGAAATACCTATTTAGGTGTGCTTCATGTTATTTTTTAAAATGCTTTTGTATATATTATTCAATAAAAGACTAAAAGAATCTATTGGTGGTATAGATAATGCTCCTTAAATTCTTTGTGTGAAAGCAGTGAATTATTTAATGAAAATATTTAAAATATGCTATATATTTAAAAATGTTTGTTAGATATTTTTTAAATAATTATCTGAATGCTGTGGTGCATGCCTGTAATCCCAGCAATCTGGGAGGCTAAGAAGGGAGGACCACAAGTTTGAGGTCAGTCTCAGCAACTTAGTGAGACCCTGTCTCAAAATGAAAAAAAAAAAAAAGAAGAAATTTAGTAGTAATGCACCCCTGTGTTTGACCCCCCCCAAAGAATAAACTTACCTTAAAATGTAGATGTCAATATATTAAAGTGCCTTCTTTTTTACTTATAAGACTCCTAGCTCTTAGTTTTTAAAAGAAATAATTTTCACTAGTTTAATCACAATGGATATATATTAATAAACTTTAAAAATATTAATGTCCAGTATAGTTTGACAGGCCTAAGAAAATTAAAGTTACCTTTCTTTTTCTTCTCAGAGGTCTCTTTATTAGTATCCATGATCGAGGGCATATTGCTTCAATTCTTAATGCTTGGCCAGAAGATGTCATCAAAGTAAGTTATCAAATTTTTCCATTGAGGCAATTTATTTGTTCTCTTTTCTGTCCCATGAAATAGTTAGATCATATTGATAATTCTCATGGTATTAGGTAGCATTCACTGAATTTTTCAGTGGGAATCACTTAATTTATAGCCCTTTGAATTTTGCATAATGGATTAATTTTATTCTGAATCTATTTAGTACTGTTTCCTTATTCTTTGTGTCTCGTTTCTTAGTATTTCTTTGTTTATTATAAGTGATAATATATATGTTGAAGATACATCTGAATAAGCAAACTCTTATGTGCTGCATTTAACCATCCACTTAGAGGATCCAAGTTGCCAAAAGAAATCTGTTAATTCAGATTAAGTAAGTAAGTAGGTCATCCGACTTCTTTCTTTCTTTGAGCTAATGACAATAAAAGTAATAGTAGTATCTGAAATTTGGTAGCTTTGTGTTTGAAACCTTGTAATGGATTACCTCTTACAATTATCATGATAATTAAGTGAGGAAAGGAAGGCACTTATAGGTTACTTGTTAATGCATGAGCAATGTGTGATCTGGGGGGAATTGAGTACAAGTTGCAGATCTGTCCCCCAGAGGCTCTGATATTAAACATAATCCTAAAACACTTTCCTTGTCTAAGGGAGATGAGGTATATTTGTTCTCCGTTTGGCTCCAGTTTTCCATTCTGTGGGATGCCAAGCAATGTTATGTCTTTTAGGATTAAGATTAAATAGATCAATATTTTTTAGAGGAGAGCCTCTGTTTGCTCTGGCTTTTCAAGTGACTCCTTTAATGATTTTGTCCAAGCATTTGTGGCTGGAATCATTTAATTTGGCTCTCTAAGGCTTTTGCTAGTCAACCTCATTAAGTATTTTTCACTATTTCTAATCTCCCCACTGTTTTCATTTTCCCCACCTAAGTTGCTCCTTCAACTTTTCTTCTAACTTCCAGATTGACCTGTCCACGGATCCTGTTCTTTTCAGCTATTCTAAGAAATGTGTTAATTTTGTAAAGAAAAAATGTGTGATCATCTAAAAAGGCTATTTACATTTTAACTAGAAATTTAGAGAATTTTACAAATCAACAAGTCAATTAGGAATGAAGGCATACACCTATAATCCCAGCATTTTGGGAGTCTGAGGCAGGAGGATCTCAAGTTAGAGGCCGGCCTGTGCAACTCAGCAAGACTCTTGTCTCAAAATAGAAAGTGTTGTGGATGTAGCTTAGTGGTAGAGTACCCTTGGGTTCAATCCCAAGTACCACTGTCAGCTTTTTTGTTGCTGCAACCAAAAGACCTAACAAGAACAATTTTAGAAGATGAAAAGGTTTTTTGCCTTCATGGTTTCAGAGGTCTGAGTCCATAGTTGGCTAACTCCATTGCTCTGTGCCCGAGGTAAGGCAAAACATCATAAAGGGTGTGGCAGAGGAAAGCAGTTCAAGTCAATTAGGAAGCAGAGAGAACTCTGCTTATCAGGAACAAAATAAAAACCCCACAGGGTTTCTAGAGAGCAAGAAAAGAGGAAGGGTTCTATATGTAGTGAGCTAGGTGGGAAACAGGCTCTGGGAAGGAACAGAAAGGATAGAGGCAGGAAGAGTGCCTCCATATTTCATGCTAATAGTTTCTATAGAGGTATTTCCCAGATAGTACTTTATATTTTGGGGTGGAGATGTGATTTCTGAAACATAGATTTCATTGATAGAATTGTGGTTGTCTTATTGAGATGAATCCTGATTATGTGACTTGATTACTTTATAAAAAATATCTAACTGCTTTATTTTTCTTAAGAGGAGACAAAGTTGGTAAAAACAAGAGCAAGAGAATGCTAATTTAATGATAAACTGCCTATATGACAAACACATTTTATCTCAGAATTTTTCACTACTCAAATATACTCTTTAATATTGAAATATTTATAAATTAATGATATTAATGTATGTTTCTTATAAAAGGCATAAACTAAGATAAAACAGTAAATGCCTCTAAACCTATTTAAAAAACTTTTCAAACTACTATTTATATGTAATTTATGTCCTGTATTTTATATAATTAAATAATAGTGCTAGATGAGAGAACAGGTTAGAGAATAAACGTTATGAAAAATGGAAAATAATGATTCTTTTGACTTTAAGACATACATATCTTTTTTTTAAAAATATGTTTAGTTTGAGAAGGACACAATATCTTTATTTTATTTATTTATTTTATGTCGTGCTGAGAATCAAACCAGGGCTCAAATATGCTAGGCAAGAGCTTTACCATTGAGCCACACTCCCACATCAAGACATACATTTAATTTAACGTAGATGTACTATCAAAAATGAATGAATGTCAAAATATACCCTACCTGTCCTGTATATCTAACAAGAACAAATAAAAAAATGAAGAAAAACAAAAAAATCCTTAAAAAACAAACAGGTTTTTATTTCTTAAAATATATTTTTCAAAAAATTTGAAACTGAAGAAAATGATAAGATGCAACAATCTGAGTTTAAGTGTGTTTAATAAAACCTGTAATGTAATATTTAAATTATTCAGGCCATAATTAATTTATATTACAATGGTACTCTTCTTATAAAGCATAAAAATATGTATAAGTATAGACAGGCTAACTGAAATTTTCTTGTATAAGGAACACATTCACAAAAGTATTATCAATGATATATAAAAGTACCTCTATGATAATAATCAATAAAACAATATCAATTAAATGTACATATGAAGTATATGGAGATTGCAAAGTTGAGTTTAATTTAAAAAGCAAAGTTATAGTTCTCTAATATTTGTTTTATATTTTTAAAAATATTTAATTGCAGATGAACACAATACCTTTTTATTTTATTTATTTATTTGTATGCATGCCTATTTATTTATTTATTTTTATGTAGTGCTGAGGATTGAACCCAATGCCTCATACATAGGAGGTAGGCGCTCTAGCACTGAGCTACAACTTCAGCCCTATTGTTTTATCTTTTTTACCGTAAGTCAGAGTTGAGTTAATCTAGTGATACCAGATTCTCTTCTCCAAAAAAGCATAACCAATATTTTTCCATAACTCATTGCAGTTAGGGAAAATTTTTTCAAAGGTGAACTATGTATAATATGTAAAAATAATTCTTACTTGTCAAATATATTTATTTTTAAAGTAATTTATAAAAAGTGGCTAATATAGGTAAATAGGATATTAAATAGAGCTCAAGAGTGTATTTAAAAATATATTCTGCAACATAATAGGGTGGAAAATCACTGTACTAAGAGTGAAAATACCCAGGTTCTAGTCCTTTGGTGCTAATTAGGTAACTCATTTTGAGCAAATTATTTCAGTTCTGGGATCTTCAATTTCCTAATCTGTAAAATTAGAGGAGTAGAAAGAATGTACTCTAGATTCCTCCTTACTTCTAAAATGCTGACTATATACATTAGTTCTGATTATAGTAATAATAGCTATATATATATACATATATGTGTATACACACATACGTATTTAGAATTTGTAGTGTATCAGGTACTGTGGTAAATTTTTTATGTATCATGATTTCATTTTATGGAATTGTAGATTTATTCAATCAACATACTTATTGCTTTTTTATTGTTTGCTACTTGCTGTGCTAGATGCTAGTGTACAGTGATGAGCAAAAGAGTTGGTTCCTAATTTTATACAGCTACTCTGCAAAGTACATTTATGATTCCCATTTTACAAAGAAACAGGTTTAAATCACTGCTTTATCCAAGACAAATAATTGATATTTTCAAGGTTTCATGGATAATATGAGTGTAGCATTTTGTAAAATTGTTTTTCATAGGATTAGTCTCTGCTTAAGCTGGGAGTGGTGGGCCACACCTGTAATTCCAGTTACTAAGAAGCCTGAGACAAGAAAATCACAAGTTTGAGGCCAGCCTCGGAAACTTAGTGAAACCCTATCTCAAAATAAAACTGAAAAAGGAGCTGGGGATATAGTTCAGTGGTAGAGCACCCTGGGTTTTCTGGTTCAGGGAAAGAAAAAAAAATTAGTTTTGCTTAAATTCAATTAATGGCCACAAATCACAGAATAAACATGTTAGGTACATTAATTCTTATGATGATATTAAATTATATAGAACAAATTCTCCACATAATTAAAGTGTGTGCTTCATAAACACTCAAGGTAACTAGAAATAAGCCAAACAAAATTGACCAAGTCTAATGGAAGATGATCAGGTTATAGATGTAGCAGACAATACTGGCCATGTTTCAAAGATAGTGGAACTATATCAAGGAGGGGCTGTGGTGTGGCTCAGTGGTAGAGCGTTTGCCTAGCATGTACTAGGTACTGGGTTTGATCCTTGGCACCACATAAAAATGAATAAATAAAATAAAGGTATTTTTAAAAATTAAGACAAAAGCAAAAACAAACAAAAAGGGGTTATAGGAATTAAAGAGGATGGGTCAAAATTATGAGAAAACAGAAGAATGGTGCCAGGATATATAAATTAACATCAGAGCATTTCAGAGAGAGTCATAACTTCTTCAGTTTATCTAGCAATCGTGTAGTACTTAACTTTGAGCACTATACTGTAATTGTACTCAAAATGAATATGACTAGTTTCAAAGCTAACCTAAATTTCACTTTGATTCCCAATATGAGCTCTTATTTCCCTGTACTTTTTCCATTTGCCCCTCTTAATTGAAGACTAAATTGTTTGGAATCTTTGAATATTTATGTGTACACCTTCTCTTCGTTCTTCAGTAACCTACTTAAGTATGCATATATAAAATATTTAAATGTGTTTAAATTAAATTTATTTTCCCCATTCTTGCACAATAGCCATTACAAAATTTGTCCAGATATATTCAATTTATGTTTTCTTTTCTTTTTTTTTGGCACCAGTGATTGAATGCAGGGGTGCTTAATCACTGAGTCATATCCCCAGCCCTTTTTATTTTTTATTTTGAGACAAGGTTTTGCTAAGTTGCATAGGGCCTTGCTAAATTGTTGAGGCTGACATCAAACTTAGCCTCTCAAGTTGCTGTGATTACAGGCATGTGCCACCAAAGCTGGCCTCTGTTTGTTTTCTAACAGCTCAATTTTTAATATTAATTTAAGAAAAAGAGACTGGAAGTTGTGTCCCAGAATTTGGAAAACTCTCATAATAGATTAATTTTCTTTTTTTCTCTAGGCTATTGTGGTGACTGACGGAGAGCGTATTCTTGGCCTGGGAGATCTTGGCTGTAATGGAATGGGCATCCCTGTGGGTAAATTGGCACTATATACAGCTTGTGGAGGAGTGGATCCTCAACAGTGTCTGCCTATCATTCTGGATGTGGGTACAGAAAATGAGGTAAATATTTTAGGTTTATAAGACAGCTATGTACCTTAAAAAATGGCACCAATTCTTGCATTTTAAGTTTATTCTATGAGTTATTTTATGAAATTTATTGGGGTTTTTTTTTTTTTTTTTTTTTTTTTTTTGGTTCTCCTTCTCTGCTCAAATCTGGCCCTCAACCTTTATGAGAAAATTATTCTCTCTGTTCTCCTTTCTCCATTTATAATGTGTTTACTCTTTTATCAGCTCCCTTGGTGTTTTATGATGCTTTGAAAAGTGCATACTCTGTGTGTGTGTGTGTATGTGTGTGTGTGTGTTTCTTTAAGATATTATAGTTTGTTTTTTAAATTATTGTTTTCACATTATGCACATTATTCACACTATCCATAGGACTTACTAAATATGATCAGTGCAAAATCTTATTCTAAAGTCTGTATTGAACCTGAGGTAGAGGATTTTTGTTTGTTTTAGATATACATGACAATAGAGTGTATTAGACATATATACATGGAGTACAAAGCATTCCAATTATGATCCCATTCTTGTGGTTGCACATAATGTGGAGTTAACAGTGGTTCTGTATTCATGTATGAGGAAAGGAGACTTATACCTGACTTTCATTGTACTGTCTTTGCTATTTCCATTCCCCCTCCCTTCCCTTCTTTCCCTTTTGTCTAATCTAATTAACTTCTGTTCTTCCCCTCCCTACCCTCCTTTGTTACGGGTTAACATCCACATATCAGAGAGACCATTCAGTCTTTAGTTTTTTGGGACTGGATTATTTCACTTAGCATTATATTTTCTAGTTCTATCCATTCACTGGCAAATGCTATAATTTCATTTTACTTTATGGCTGAGTAATATTCCATTGTGTGTGTATGTGTGTGTGTGTATGTATGTATGTGTATATGTGTATATATATATATATATATATCACATTTTAAAATTCTAATTTGTTATATATATCACATTTTAAAATTCTAATTTATTATATGTGACAGCAGAATGCATTACAATTCATATTACACATATAGAGCAAAACTTTTCATATCTATGGTTGTATACAAAGTATAGTCCATCTCATTCCACCATCTTTTCTACCCCTCTGCCTCTTCCTTCCCCTCCCACCCCTTTGCCCTATCTAGAGTTCATCTAATCCTCCCATGTTCTCCCTCCCAACTCCACTATGAATCAGCCTCCTTATATCAGAGAAAATATTCAGCATTTGGTTTTTTGGGATTGGCTAAATACACTTAGCATTAGATTCTCCAACTCTATCCATTTACCTGCAAATGTCATGATTTTATTCTCTTTTAATGCTGAATAATATTCCATTGTGTACATATACCACATTCTCTTTATCCATTCATCTACTGAAGGGCATCTAGGTTGGTTCCACAGTTTAGCTATTGTGAATTGTGCTGCTATAAACATTGATGTGGCTGTGTCTCTGTAGTATGCTGTTTTTAAGTCCTTTGGGTATAGACCGAGGAGTGGGATAGCTGGGTCACAAGGTGGTTCCATTTCCAGTTTTCCAAGAAATCTCCATACTGCTTTCCATATTGGCTGCACAAATTTGCAGTTCACCAGCAATGTATGAGTGAACTTTTTACCCCACATCTTTGCCAACATTTATTGTTACTTGTATTCTTAATAATTGCTATTCTGACTCTAGTGAGATGGAATTTCAGTGTGGTTTTAATTTGCATTTCTCTAATTGCTACAGATATTGAATATTTTTTCATATATTTGTTGACCATTCATATTTTTTCTTCTGTGAAGTACCTGTACAGTTCTTTTGCCCATTATTGACTGGTGGATTTTTTTTTTTTTTGGTGTTAACTTTTTTGAGTTATTTGTGTATCCTGGAGATTAATGCTCTATTTTAGGTGGAGGTGGCAAAGATTTTCTCCAATCTTATTGGTTCTCTGTTCATGCTCTTGATTGTTTTCTTTGCTGTGAAGAAGCTTTTTACCATCCTGTTTATTGATTCTTGATTTTACTTCTTGCACTTTAGGAGTCTTATTGAGGAAGATGGTTCCTGAGCTGACATGTAGAATTGGACTTACTTTTTTTCTTCTAGTAGAAACAGGGTCTCTGGTCTAATGTTTAGGTCCTTGATCCACTTAGAGTTGAGTTTTGTGTAGGGTGAAATGAGTTCAATTTCAGTCTTCTACTTATGGATTTCCAGTTTTCCCTGTACCCTTTGTTGAAGAAGCTATCTTTTCTCCAGTGAATGCTTATGGCACCTTTGTTTAGTATGATATAACTGTATTTATGTGGGTTTGTCTCTGTGCCTTCTATTCTGTTCTTTGGTATTCATGTCTGTTTTTTGTGCCAATACCATGCCATTTGTGTTACTATATCTCTGTAATATAATTTAAGGCCTGGGATTGTGATGCCTACTGCATCACTTTTCTTGCTAAGGTTTATGGTCTTTAAGTCACATGTGATAGAAGATAGAAAAATACTTGAATGAACCGAGTTGCCAACTTGTAGCTTTCTCATTCATCCTGAAATTTTATTCTTTTCATTTATCCTTTTAGTTAGAATGTTCCTGCACTGATTTTTAATCTCATCACTTTGTGAATCTTTACCTAGTGTTACACTTCATAATAAAAATATAAAAGGGTGGATAACATCACTTAGTTTCTTATTCAGAATAACCTAACAATACTAGATGTTTGAATTAAAACTAGATGCTATTAAAATGCAAATTACAAGCAGTTTCCTCTTATCATAAATTTTGTGCCTAGTAACAATGAGAATAGAAAAGGAATTAGTTCTCATTCTCTATAAAGTCATATTTGCCTAACTACCTTTAAATCTGCAACTTTTCATAAGGAAATTTAAAGAAAAAAGACACAGAAATTGAGCCATAAAAGTGTTCTCTTCTTCAAATCAGGCAGGGTGATGTACACCTATAGTCTCAGCTACTTGGAGGCTGAGGCTGGTGGATCACTTACACCCGAGGAGATGGATGTCAGCCTGCAGAGCAAGATCCTGTTCCCAAAACAAAAACAAAAACACTTAATTCTTTTGAGTTAATTTACTAACCAGTAAATTCAGTAGGTGTTCATATTTTCATCTTGTTTTTGTCTCTTATTTCACAGTCTACATTTTCTTTAATTTACTTATGAAACAATTGCTAAAATCTAAACAATTGTAAAATCTACTTCTGTTATATGATGTAAATTTTCTTCAGTTGTCTGTCAAGAGAGCATATTTAATTCTTCCTTGTCCTCTTTTTTTTTTTTGCTGTTGCATAATCTTTTGATATAAATTGTGTGTATTATTTGTCTATTTTCCCTGAATATTTGAGCATCATCTAGGCTTGTTATTTGACCAAAAATAATATGATTAGGCGTTCCTTGTGTCCTCTCCATGATTGCCTGGACATTATTAGATCTTAGAGGATTCCTTCATATTTACATGATCTAATAGTTAGAGCTCTTTTATAGTACCATACATGGAGTAGCCTAAACAACAGAATTTTATTTTCTCACAGTTCTGGAGACTGATAGTCTGAGACCAAGGTGTTGGCAGGCTTGGTTTCATGTAAGTTTTTTTCCTTGACTTGTAGAAGGCCATCTTCCTCAGGTGTCTTTACATGGCCGCCTTCTGTGTATGCCTATTTCCTAATTTCTTCCTCTTATAAGGACATCACTCTTATTGGATTAAGTCCAACTGTAATAATCACATTTAAGTTAATTACCTCGTTAAAGACCTATCTCTAAGTCTGCAGTATATTCTGAGGTGGTAGGCATTAGAGTTTTGATATATGAATTTTGAGAACACAGTTCAGCCTATAACACTCTCTCTTTTAAGAAATCATGGCAGTATGAGTAGAAAGACATTTGTGTCTGCACAGTTATTTTTTTGTTTATTAACCCATTACCCTAGGTCACAGCTTTTTTGTTTCTGTTTTTATTTTGTCTGGCCTCTAGACTATGTGTACAGTGTGTCTAGATATAGAATCGTTATTAGGACTTGAACTTTCCCATTTGGAGGATTCCTCCTTTATTCCAGAAGGAACTCTTCATTTTTGACATGGATCAGCTGTTTGAGAGGAACTGAGTGAAATAAAAGAAATGTTAGATATTTTCTGTCGTATTTTTCTACTATATATGTTCTACATCCCTTCAGAATGTGGCTTGTATTTGTTTTCTATTACTACTATAACAGTTGCTACAAACTTAATGACTTAAAACAATATAAATATATTTCCTTTTCATTCTATACGTCACAAGTCCAATACATGCCTGCAAAGGCTAAAATCATACAAGGTATCATTAGTGCTACATTGCGTTTCTTTGCCTTTTTCTGGCTTCTAGACTGCCTTTCTTCCTTGTTTCATGGCCCTTTTAATCCATTTTCAAAGCCAGCAGTGTAACAGCATCTCTCTGCTTCTATCTTAGATCACTTTTTCTGACTTCAACAAGGAAAGATTTTCTAATTTTTAGAACTCACCCCTCTAATGTCTGTATGTGTGTTTTGGCACATAAGGTAATGTCTTTACAGGTTCTTGGGATTCAGGTGTGCAGATCTTTTGGGGAGGGGTGGGATATCATCATCTCCTTCTCAACTCTCCCCTTCACTTCTAGCATTTATCCTTTTACATTATGGAGATTGCCTGCCACTTCAAGTGAGTAGTCCTGCATTATAATGAGTTATAGTAAAGCCAGGGCAGAGAAGACTATGCTTCAGATTATAGGCTTTTGATTTGAAATGTCTCATATTTGTTTTTACCAGCCCTTATCTCACCTTCTCTAAATTAGAAGGTGATAATGGATTTTATCAAGAATTTATTTTCCACGACACTGCACCAATGCCTTGAGAAAAGAATGGGATCATTAGCTTAACTTTTTCAACACTATTACTAGCCAGGAACTCCTTGAAGTTTGGGATATATTTTAGAAATATTCATTATATAGACCAAAACAGAAAAATTATTTACATGAGACAGAACCTATTACAAAGTAGAGTGGTTTGATTTCAACTGAATAAAAGTTTTA